TCTAACTGAGGCTTAAATATATTCATAATTCAAAAGACCTGAGTGATCTTCAATTTAATGAAATTGGGACATCATATTTTGGTAGGGGAAAGTGTTATGGACCAGAATCCGAAGAGTTGAGGTGCAAGCACTTTGGGATTTGACTTTCTTTTCCTGGTGAAATAAGGCAGACAATCCACATCCCTAATTACACACTACTTTTGAAACTGCTGAGCCCCTCCGTTTCAAAAACATGTGGCAGAAGGCAAGGATTTCTCTTTGACAAGAACAAGCCTGAAGAATCAACAGTGTCCTGAACCGTCACCATGGATCTTTAGATCCTAGACAGTGACAGAACATTCACACTAGCATTTTCATGCTGATCTATGTGGGTAGGCTGCACTCAGCATTCAAACTCATTAAGGGTTATATTTACTCTGCAGTATCAAAAGGCATTCCATGAATCTTCAGAGCAATACCACTAAAGCATTCCTTTAGTAGTTATATAGGTAAAGTTTCCCCTTGACATTTAGTCCAGTCATGTCGAACTCTAGGGCGCAGTGCTCATCCCTGTCTCCAAGCCATAGAGCCAGCATTTGTCTGTAGACAGTTTCCGTGTTCACGTGGCCAGCGCAACTAGACATGGAACACCATTACCTTCCCACCATGGTGGTACCTATTTATCTACTCACATTTACATGATTTCGAACTGCTAGGTTGGGTGGAGCTGGGACAAGTGATGGGAGCTCACTCCATCGTGTGGATTCGAACTTATGATGGCTTGTCTTCTGACCTTGCAGCCAAGAGGCTTCTGCAGTTTAACCCGCAGCGTCACCACCTCCCCAGTATTTATATACTTCAGAATAAGTGCTGCTGTCCCTTTGAACAAAATACAGTGGTGCCTCGCATAACGATGTTAATTGGTTCCAGAAAAAAAAACGTTATGTGAAAACATCGTTATGTGAAGCACCATTTCCCATAGGAATGCATTGAAAACCGGTTAATCCGTTCCAATTGGAACGGATTATCCGGTTTTCTCTCTCCCCCCGCGGCTTGGATCTGACCCACGGCGGCTACCAATTGGCATTTGACTCCATCTGGAAATGATGACTCTTACCCATTCCTTTGAACTGTGGTACAGTTCTGTTCCATTGTGAGAAAATGTCGGCAGTGGGCTGGGGCCTCGGAAGGACTCCGAAGCCACCGTCCCCTGCCGACAATTCCCTTCCGAGCTCCGGGGACAGGCTGGGGGGTGAATCAGGACATTTTCCCCCAGCTGAGCAGCGGGGCTTCAAAGCTCCCGCCGCTCAGCTGGGGGAAAATGGTGCCTATGGGGAAAAATCGCAAAGCGATTTTTCCCCATAGGCAAGATCATTGTGCGATCGCAAAAGCGATGGCAACAAAGCCATCGCTATGCGATTTTTTCGTTAAACGGGGCACTCGTTAAGCGAGGCACCACTGTAGTTAGATCTGTCTTTTTGGTGTGGTGGAGCCAAGATTCACAGGATCAAAACACCAAGACCTTTTGATTAGTAGGGTCAATTATCTCTTCTACCACCACCTTCAATAGGGCTAGCCTATCCATTAATTACACTGAGAGAGGAGTCTTGGGGGTAGAGCATCAGGAGGATTGAAATACATTTGTTCTGAAGACAGCAGCTTGATATACTTGGCATTGTTTCCCACAGAGGCTGACCACCTCTGTGTGTGTGCGCGTGCGTGTGCGGGGGGGGTCAGGTTAGTGTGTGCAGAGCAGTGGTATCAGTGAGATGGGGTAGTGAAGAGAGAGAAAAGGGAGAGTGGACGATGGGTAATGGATTTCTGGCATATCTTGTCTTCTTTGGCAGTGGGAGATGTGAAGCCACTGTTGCTGCTCAGTGAACTTTTTTGTCTACAATTAGCTGCAATTAACTGCAGTTCTTACAGTAGCCGTGGGAGAGGGGAAGTACTTCCACAGCACCATGTTTTTGTCAGCTGTTGCTATTGTGATGCAAAATTATTTGGAGTAACTTGATCCTGCTCCTAGTGGAGATGGAAACTGTTTGTGTGTGTGTTTGTGTGTCTGTCTGTCTGTCCTCCTAGTACTTGGAAAAGGATGTTCTGGAAAGTCTTGAGCTCCTGTTTAGGGAATGTTATGGTTCTTTCTTTCCCTTCTCCATGCAAATATCAATATTGGATCTTTTTAGGCATCACGACACTGCTGTTTGCTAGCTGGCTACTCTATGCCTGTCAGCAGAACTAAATAAAGGGGGCATTTGGTGTATACTCCTGACCTTTGGTGTGGATAGGTATATTTAAGATTCTGTCTTCTAATCAGAATTTCCAGTTGGAAAGGTGTCCTTGTCATCAGTTAAGGCCCTAACACAGCATGACAGACTGCACAAAATCTTCTATACCCTTTGCCCTCAGATTTAATTTAAAGCCAGGATGCACGGGGGCGGGGGGTAGGGGGAGGAAATGAAAAGGAAGGAAAGTGGGCTTTTCATCTTTTAAGAGATATTTTACTGAATGTAGAAATACGAGCCTGACTAGAATTTTAAAAGTTAAAAAAGGAAAAGATCTAGTAATTGCAATATTCATAACTTTAACAAAGATATTTGAATTATTCCACATTCTCATTGAAGGAACATGGAACTATTAGAAACTTAGTGCTGCTTGCCTGCAAGCTGCACAAAGGCATATGGTCCACCATAATCCTGTTAATCAGAGCATTTAACTTACTCAATAAAGGCCATATGCTGTGGAGGACTGGATGATTTACGTCTGCGTGCTTCTCTCTGAAAGAAAGAAAAAATCAGCACTGCCAAATGTTATCCTGTTATCTTCTGACAAATAACTCTGGCTTGGACATCATCAAATGAGTGTGTAGGAGTTAGAGAGGGTGAGACAGTCTCTGTTTTTGATAGTGATTCTCAGAGTTCACAGGTCAATAATGTTGCCTCCTCTGTTCCAAAGAGAGAGAGGTGATCCCATCACAGGATTTTATGCAGCTAGTTTATACCACCCTCATAGAAGTCCCAGTTCATACAAATGACAGCTTCATGCAAGTTCAGCCACTCTCGGGAGCCTTAGTGGCGCCATATGCTCCTGAGATAATTGTGTTTGTGAAGGCCACCAGTCTATCAGAAGAACCAATCTATCTGTTCCTTTGTTGGAGACCATTATAAAAGAGAATGCCATATACAGTATGGGAAGGAGCAGAAATGGCTTCTTCCTGCTCCATGGTGAGATTATGTTATAGGACCAAATCATTTTATCCAGTTATGCTGGTGTAACACTGTTGGTATACATTTTGGAGGCAAATTGCCTCAGTTTGAGAAATCATCATAGATATTTGTTGTGGTAACGAGTCATATGACTCAAGAGTGCAACTGATAATTTACATTATATTACACTATTAGCATTATACCAGGGTAAGAGGGTTTTTGCCAGTACAGTATAACTACCACCCATATTCTGCACAGTCTTTACTTGTAATCTTCTCTCTCAAGAGCTCTACATCTAGCCTTCCTATCTAGTTACACACTTTACTGTATGTGATGGGTCAGGTGGTTGTTCAAACATTGCTCATCTTCAGTCAGCTAACATTGGTCTAATACTGCTCAGCATTTATTGGCCAGACCCCTAATGGGAATTTATGCTAGCATAAATGTAGTAGTGTAAACGTAGCTGCAAATTGCTGCTAATTAACTAGTTGCCACTCACATTCCTGGTCACACACCAGTCATACAACTTGGCATCTGAGCAAGAATGGGAGCAGCAACTCATTAATTAGTGGCAGTTTGACATTGTGGTTTACATAATTACACTTTACTCCCATTACAATCCTGTGGTACCCACCTCATAGCAGAAGAATTCTGTAACCCATAGCAATCCCAAGCAAACATTTTTTTTTCTCAATTATTTTTATGTCACATGTGCACTTTCTTAATCCAACACATACAATTGTTTGGGGTTTTTAATAGCAAATCCCAATATTTGGAAATACAATACTGGAAAGGATAATATTACAGGACTTCTAATGGCTGTGATAACTGACACTAATACAGATTCAGATCCTGCTAATGGGTTATTTAGTGGGCTCTGCACTCCCTTCCCTGAACAGGGAAGCGGCTAATGCAAAATAAAATCACCAGTTGTGTCATGGCCTGCTCTTCTACCGAACTAGAAAGAGTGATGTTACCTGTAGCATGAGGCAAGGAGGGCAATGTCACCAATGTTGCAGCTTTTAAAAATAATGTAATGACTCATAATTGTTAATATTTTAATTATAATTGGTAGCATTTACTTCTTGCTCATCAGATGTTACATCAGGGGTCATTTTTAGAATGTGGGGACATTTTTCTCTCTTTTACATCTATGTAAAAAGAAAACAGTTATATATTATCCTTTTGTTAACAAGTATCAAAGGGATGATACAAAGATGTTTTTTCTTATTGTAATAAGCAAGGAGAAAAACATCAGCTTTTGTTAGAAAACTGGTGCTCCACAGCAAGCAGATCAATAGTGCCTTGTCAATTCACACTTTAAAAGGTAACATTGTGTTTTAGCACAGGACCTCAGCACAAACCAGATTTCCAAAAAAAAAAAAAAAAAAAGGCAGGAGGTAACAAAGACAGCGTTGGAATGTGGTGGTTTTGGCAGTGTTTCTGTCTGGATTTCCTAGAATACCTGAATGAGAAAATTATTTCTGTTCCAGTGAAAACAGCTAGCTTGAAAGCCCCTAAACACTTGCTTTGATAAACCATCATAAAGATTAATCTCTTATGTTGCAAGTCATTGCCAAGAATTTTGAATTTACATCAGACCTCAGATCCTTACTCCCAGACATTTACCAAAGAGCTATATATTAGTGTATTTTTATGGCATGTGTTGACTCAGGCCTGCATTTATATTTTTCTTCTGGCAGCTAGTAGGAGCAAAATTGGATGGCTGCAATAGAAGCCTAGGGTATCACAACTAAATACGTTACTTCCTAATTCCCTTCCCTTCTCTTCTTTTCTTCTTTTTTTTCCTGTTAGTGTGGAAACAGTAAATGATGGGCAGTTTCACAGTGTGGAGCTGGTGATGTTAAACCAGACCTTCAATTTGGTTGTCGATAAAGGAGCTCCCAAGAGTCTAGGCAAACTGCAAAAGCAACCTGTGGTTGGGGAAGACACTCCACTCTATATTGGAGGTGAGTTACGCTTTCTCCTGGCTTGTAGCCAAGCATCAAACCAGATGTGACATGAGAGGTTCTACAACTGCATCTGTTTTCCAGGTGGCAACATGTGACCCTCCAGATGTTGTGGGGCTGTAGCAATCAGCACCACTGGTGGCAAGAAATGACAAAAGTTGTAGTCCAAGTTGCCAGAGATGCAACTAGTAATTTTGGCTCCCAGACAAACACACTGCAGCAAGTGCCAGATTTAGAGGGCATGGTTATAGTGATTGCAGTCCCCAGAAGCAATGAGCTGAAGGTGGGCAGCCATGTAGCTCAAGTTCACTTTGATGCCAGGAAAGAAAGAAAAAAAGAAAAAAGAAAAAAATCTCCAGCAGTGCACATCACTAGAGGGCAAAGACGACGCCCTTATTCTGCTTCTGAGCACCTTGCTCTCCTTCGATTTCTGGTTTCGGAGGGAGGTCCTGAGTAGCAAGGCATGATTAAAGAGGTAGTTTCTGAAGTTGCCCGCAATCTGAAACCGGTGAGGACTAAGAAATACCCTTCCCATCACATTGTGTTTCTCAGGGCCTCCTCTTGAAACCAGAAGGCAAAGTAGAACCAGGAAGTGCAGCAGCTGCTTTTCTTTTTGATCCAGCGGCTGCTGGAAGTTTGCTTTTGCTTTCTTGTTCCGTCATCCAGGAGTCGCAGCAGAGGTAGTTGAGTGCAGCCTGGTGATGGGATTGCACATGGCAGTTTGCTTCCTACTGCATATGCGTGGGCTGCATACCTGACTCTCCTTTGGCTTGTCTGTTCCAGGGAAGATCAGAAGAGGATGGCTGCATCTTCTAAGTTTGTTAGCCAGGGATTTAAACTAAGTATTCTTTCCCTGATCACAGCTCTGCAAATTATCCATCCTTTTAGTAAATGGTAAATGCAACCCTGTGCTGTTGTCCCAGTCAAAATTATTGTGCCTGAGCTGCTATTTGTCTTATGAAGAACATACTTCCAAGTAGCAGATATTTCCCTTAAAGGAAGATCTTCAGGGACAAAAAGGAACAAGAAAAGCAGCTTGGATGTGGACTAGAGTGGATCTTTTACAAGTATTTGACACTGTTGGTTACATAGCTTTCTTCTAGTATTCATGGCCAACATGTCATCTGCTCCTGACTTTTACCCTTCCATTCATGCCTGTTGTTCACATGCCGTATCAAAGAGGGCGATTCTAACTATGCATGAACAAGATGTGCATAGGTGCCACTGAGGAATATCATTACTTTTGGTTGAATCCTGGTCTCCCGAGTCCTAGTCTGTATCCATTGTACCACACTGGTTCACCAAAGGGAAACTATAAGGACAGATAAGATACAGGTAACTTCCCACATATATTTATGACTTCTTTAAGAGTCAGAATAATCTACAGTATATCTGACTATACATCCTGTGAGGAAGTTTAGGTCAAAAAAGTGTCTTCCCATAACAAATTAGTGAGTTTTATTGACTGACTGTGAGTATTGTAAATCCAAGCCTAACACTCTTAATGGTAATTTTATGGTTAGGTTACACTTATCTGCGCATTGGGGAGTCTAATGTGAATAAATGTTTTTGCTCTCTGGTCTTACATACACCTTCAAGAGCAGATATAATTTGTCTTGGAATGGGATACAAACTAGTAAATGATGATACAGGAGAATAACCCGGAATGTACAGCTTATCTGCATATCTCTTTCCCCCTTGCCACCAAAACACCCTATATCCTAACTCTGAATATTCTTTATACATTCTTAAGTAATGTATAAAGCACTTTGTGACTTTTTTGCAGGCATTCCTACATCCACAGGGTTATCTTCCCTCCGTCAGGGAACAGAGAGAACACCCAGTGGTTTCCATGGCTGCATTCATGACGTCCGCATCAACAATGAGCTACAGGATTTCAAGGATCTCCCTCATCAGTCTGTAGGAGTTCTTCCAGGTTGCAGATCCTGTAACATCTGCAAGCATGGTATCTGTCGCTCTCTTGAGAAGACAAGTGTTGTCTGTGAATGCCACCCTGGCTGGACAGGCTCACTATGTGACCAAGAAGTTAAAGATCCCTGCCTGAATAACAAGTGAGTTTTCCTGACCATCAAACAGGAACAAGGGCAGAAATGATAAACATACTAAGAAAGATGGGGGTTGTCTGTGAACCTCCCTTCAGCATATTAAGATTTAGAATGTTACACATTTTACAATTTACAAGAAGACTCGTAAGTGGAGGTTCAAATCTGATTTAGTTACTGTTACTAATCTGTAAAATGTCTTCTCCTTGTTATGAAGCTTTGCTTTTGTCAGCTAACTGGTTGCCGAGGAAGTGATTAACCCTTTTTAAAAGCACTATGTTTTGTTTAATTGTGTGTATATATTTTAATCCTTATTTTTTGGTCTGTCTTTTAACCTTATTGTGAGCAGCCTCGAAAAGATGAGATAAAAATTAAATAGCTAAATAGAAGACAAAGCAAATGGGTCAGAAAACCTACCTGTGAGACTATTAGTATTGTTGACACTGATGGCAACAGTGTCTGTCCAGAGTTTTGGGCAAATAATCTTTCCTAGCTGGACTTGGAAAGGCAAGTGATCAGACCAGGAATCTTCCAGTTGCCCAGCACATGATTTACCACTAAGCCACAGTCCAGCTCCAAGTAATTATTTATTATCTCGCATTCACTAATCATCTCTCTAACACACTTTTTCTCTCATCTCTTTTTCCCCCTCTTAAGATGTCTCCATGGCAAATGCGTAGCTACCAACTCTGCTTACACATGTAAGTGTACAGAAGGTTATACAGGCATGTACTGCGATGGAAAAAATGATTCTTCTAGCTCCTGCAGGCTTCTGAAATGTGCCCATGGGGAGTGCAAGATCTCGGCACAAGGGGAACCATATTGTGAATGTGAGCCAAACTACAGTGGGGAGCGTTGTGATAGAGGTTGGTATAACTGCAACATGTGTGGCACATTCTCTGTTTCTCTGTTAACTTACCTGTTTGTCTGTTCGCTTGTAATAAGATAAGAGAGTTCTGCAGATTTTTCTGTATTCTGTTGGCAGTTTCTCTGTAGATCATGCTATTGTGCAACACAGCAAATCAACATTCTGCAAGGCAATTCTAGTAATGGGGGCAGCCCAAAGAAAATATATACCTTGGACACTTATCTTCAGATCAGCACCAAAGCTGGCACAATTGTAGCAAACAGTCAGTTCTTGCTGCGTCAAAAACTTGGGGAAGTTTAGACAACGGGTTTTTTAATTACAATTTTTTAAAAAATAAAACTGTACCCTGTGCACAAACAAGCTGAAACACCCCCAGAATTAAAGTGGTTCATACAGATTGAAAAGCTGAATCTTGAAGAGAATTGCTGGTTCCACCCACCTTTGTTATTTGGAAAGAATCCAGGCTGCGGGAGCTGAAATATTGACCCTCAAAAAAAGAGAGAGAGAGAGAGAGCCTCTCAAAAAGGAAAAACAGCCATTTTGTTACACAAATGAGCATGTGTGGAACAGACTTATGAGCAATAGCGTTCCAAAGCAGATACATTGTTGCAGCTTTGTGGACCAGGAGGCAAGATGCCTGGAAGGTAATGGAAGGTCATTTATGGGGGGAGGGAATCAAAAGATAGGTGGGTTTTTTTGGGGGGGGGAAGGAGAAGGAAAAAAATCTTGCTTTAAATTAAGTTATGGAGTGACAGTCCTCCAGAAAGGGGGGCATTTTCCATATATCTCCAGGGAATTAGCATACGATTTTGTAAAGCATATTCAAAGTATTTCTCTATTACAAAAGTACAGAGCAGTTGTGTTTGTCCCAGCCCTGAGTGCCTTCAGTAAACATTCCCTTGGGATTTCTGTCACCAGGTTCTTCACACAAGTCTTCAATGGGGGAAATTAGCTCCAGGTCTGGGGCAATCTGAACTGACCCTGTCAGTCAGGACCCAATTAGCAGACTCTCAGGAGGAGAACTTTTTAACTCCTTCTTGGCCAAACAGATATTCATGCTGGTAAAGGGATTCTGTGTCTGATTCTTAAATATTTTAAAATATATTTTAAAAAAGAATAGAGAATAAATATTCAGAAGCTCACTCAGTTAGCTGTGAAATTACTCTTTTTTTTTGCTTTGTAGCTGGGGATGATCTTATTCAATGTTAGCAGCGCTTTGGTGCTTATATCCTGTCATAGTTTCAAGCATTCCACCTATCTTGTCACTATACAATTGTCTGGTAATTTAAAAAAATCCTGAAGATGTTATGTGCTATTATGTCACTTTTGGATTTATTTATTTATTGGGTGGCTTACACACATGAAACATAAATGTATAAACACCCCCCCAAAAAAAACCACCAGACATCAAAGAAAGTAGAAAATAAAAGAAATCCCCCCCAGTAGCAACAGAAGTCAGAAAACAAATTAAATTATAATAAAATAAGCTATTATGCTGGGAGCATATTTTGAAAGGCTTCTCTGAAAAGATACATTTTAACTGATTTTCTAAATGGAGGGAAGAGGCCTGGTGCACCTCCACTGGCAGGACGTTCCTTAATGAAGCAGCCACCACCAAGAAGGCCCAAGTCAAAATTGGAAACATAGGGAGCCACTTTATCTCAAGGCAGACTATTAGTCCAGCTGGCTGGCTGGCTCAGCAATGTCTTTCCTAGCCCTGCCAGAGGAGGGAATGAACTTGAGATTTCTTCTGTGGGCAACATATGCCCTACCTCTACAATATGACCTCTGCTTACCCAAGTATGTGCCAAACCTCTGTGCGCTGAGGTATCTGTCCAAAATGAAGATAAATTTGTGGAAACAGAATATTGCATGAGGTTTTTCCTTCTCTTGTTTTCATTTCCTTTGATAATTTGTTAATTTTTCTGTCACTTATTCCATGGAAAATTGTAGTGACATATCTGGAAAACATATTATTACTGCAGCATATAGTCTGCAGTCTAGTTATTCAAAGCAGGGTTTATTGGCAAAGTAAAGTGAGCAAAGTCCCTTTCTCGGTGTGTAAAAGCTTGCTAGAGAGTTTAATGAAAAAAATAATTGAGGACGAAATAAACAGGAAGAGCTTCCAAATTGCAGTAAGCTACAGATTGATACCTCCAGATAGCAGCATAGCCCTGCTACGTTCCTTCTGCCCCAAGGAATGAGTCAAATAAGCTCCAGTTGCACCAGTATAACCACATGGACTAATTAAACCAGGCAACTGATTTTCTCCTGAATCATAGAAATGTTGTGTGCTTCCACTACACTAAAAGGCATGCAGGACAATGTTCTGGCTCTGCTATGCTCAAGCCGTTAAGAAAAGTGCAATATTGGTGCAATATACTCAAGATCAGATGGCTAAAATCCAGTAGCAGAACTTACTCCGCATAAGGCTAATGTCATCACCATGGTTTCACCAGCTTGACAAGGTTGTACCTGAGGAATAAGCATACAGTGGTGCCCCGCATAGTGACGATAATCCGTGCAGCAAAAATTGTCGCTATGCGGATTCATCGCTATGCGAAAAGAAAAAGCCCGTAGGAATGCATTAAAACCCGTTTAATACGTTCCTATGGGCAAAAAACTTCCCTTTAAGCGAAAATCCTCCATATGGCCGCCATTTTCGCTGCCCGGTAAGCGAGGAATCAGTGCGAAAACACAGCGGGAGGCCATTTTTTTACCCCGCGGCCATTTTGGAACCACCGATCAGCTGTTCTAAAAACTGCTATGCGAAAATCGGTAAGCAAAACAGCTTACCGATCATCGCAGAGCAATATTTTCCTATCTAAAAACTTAATCGCTATGCGGATTTGTCGTTAAACAGGGCACCCATTAAGCGAGGCACCACTGTACTCAGTAGCCATCTTTGTTAGCAATAGCTTAATGATTTCATGTTCTCAGGGTTCAGACCAGTAGCCATCTTTGTTAGACAGCAATAGGTTAATGATTTCATGTTCTCAGGGTTCAGACGTATGAGCAAGCAAATGATCAACTTTCTCCCATCCTCCCAGAGAATCTGTGCCAAGGAGAGATCATCCGCGAATTCATTCGGAAGCAACAAGGCTCCACCTCCTGCACCTCCATGGTCAAAATCCCACGCGTAGAATGTCATGGCAGCTGTGGAAACCATCAGTGCTGTGTTGCCCTCCGTAGTAAAAGGCGGAAATATGGTTTCCAGTGCATGGATGGCTCCTCCTTCATCGAAGAGCTAGAGAGGCACGTGGAGTGTGGCTGCGCAAAGTGTTTATAAGCCGCCAACCAGCCTCTTTGCCCTTTTGTGTCGACTCAGACGTGCTCTCAAAAACAGGACCTATTTACTTTGAAGTGAAGAAGAGAATATTAAGTATATTGTAAAATAAGCAAAAAATAGAAGTTATTTTATTATGAAAAGTGACTATTTTCCTCTTTTATTATATAAAGTTTCTGACTGTTTGGGGTATATGTATCATACAGTGAGTTATATTTACTATGGATTTTTTTTTACAGTTGTAAAAGAAAAAGGGGGGGGGGGAAGAGGGAAATATTCCAAAATTAAACACAGGGATTAAAAACAGAGTATAGCTAACGAGCTTTGCACAAAAGTGAGGTGTGAAAGTAAATTTTAAAAGTTCACTGCGAGAAATTGGAAAGCAAGTTTTGAAATATTCTGGACAGTTGCACATCTAAGAGCTATTGCTTCCCATTCTTTTTCCTGTCCAGCCACACTCAGTTAATATCCCTCTCGGCTGATGATGATGAAACTGCTACTTGTGTTTGTAATTGTTGTGAAGCTGCTCAATACCATTGCCAAAAAAAAAGCACATTGCAGCACTGCCATTGCTTGGTCCTTATGCACAGGTATTATTATGCACATGTTAATGCAACACTAGTAGTTACCTGTTCTGTTTTTTATGTATTGTTGATTCTCATATGGTTGAGCTCCAAATCAGTTAAATTGGCTGTCTGGCCATCAGCAGTCTCACAAAATGTTAAATTGGAGAAATGTGCTTGCTTAATAGTATTTGGTGTCTTGTTTGTTGCTTAACTGACTGATGGAAAGAAAATACAGTCAGTAGCAGAGGGAATAATACATGGCCACATCCTTCTCTGCTTTCCAAGCAGATGGAATAGCGCTTTGCCTTGGTTATCCTCCTTCCTTGTGGTCTCCTGTTCCACACTGGAAGAATATTGCAGACACGTACACCGGCCAGACGATGATCAGCAGAAAATCTCCCTTAATGACGGCCTCCTTAGTTATAATTTCTCATGATTTTATGCTTTAGATTGCAAAGCTGAAATGAAAGACATTGCCTTACGTGACGATGACAATCCTCTGTAAAATTCCCAGATCTTTACACAGGAGTTTTCCACTCGCTCCAGGAGTTCTATCACAGTTCCTATAAAGGAAACACAAAGCCATTTTCCTTTCACCTGGTCTCCACTGATGCTGAGCTTGATATTGGAAGTTGGTAGAATCAGCTGCCATGCAGAGGTTGTCTGTACATTGTGCCCTAAAGAATGCTTTTCCATATAGATCCAGAGTGACCCTCTAGATGTTGTTGGACTGCAACTACCAGCATTCTTCATTCTTGGTTATGTTGGTTTAGGGCAGATGGAAGCTTGACAATAACTGAAGAGCTATATTTGGTCCATTTCAGCGGTTGACCTTCCCTATCCCAGTGCCAGATACTTCTGGTGATGGGTTGCTAACAATGGCCAGAGTTTGGAAGTTACAAAATTAGTTGGTTTTCTTTTGCTTTATTCTGTTTGGCTTTTCAGGGATAACAATGGTGCAACAAAGGTGCATTTCAGAAGTTATGTAATGAGTGATGTTTTCTAGTTACTTTAAAAGCTATCTTACATCTTTGGAATTTATCTGCTGCTGTAGTCTTAAGTAAGTATTGGCCCAGTACAATGGCCAGCATAGTATTTTTAGCAAAATGCTGCTGCAAGTTATAAAATCAGAATATGGTGTTTTCTGCTGTGTACTGAGTTGTGCAATTCAGTGTGGAACAATTCATGTCTGCACAAATTTTGTAACTTGCAACAATTTGCCACCAAAGGGTGCATCGTTGGTCATTGTTTTGTATTGTCTTTTGTATATCTAACCACTAGAGGGCAATAGAAAATATTTCTCTCTATTAGCAACACAATACTTCAATATAACCCAAAACATTAATATGCTGCTTTTATAACCAGAGTTCTCTGGCTATCAGAGAAGAATGAGTAGTGTAATTAGTGGGCTTTTATAGTTTCCAAAGCTCTGATGATGGCAAGGAAAGCCTTCCTGTGAGTCCACATATCATGGCACTATGTTACTGATGCTACATGGATCGGTGGCCACTATACACAGTCGGTTTTCATGCAGCAAGGGTGGGGTGTATTATGCTGATCAGTGCTTTTAAAAAGAACTCTAGTGAGGAAACTCCATGCCTTCAACAGTTTGTGTGACCATTCTCTCAGGGGCCCCTTCCCTCACCTACATCCTTTTAAAAAAAGGAAGTGGAGTTAAAATAGGAAAGCCTCTAAATTCAAGAAGCCATTGACAAGGGGGTGGGGTGGGAGTGTGTGTGAGAGAGAGTGAGTGAAGGGTTGGGGAGAAAAAGTAAGGGGGGAGAGAGAGAGGGAGATGGCCTTCTGCATCTTAGCCCCATGCTGAAATCCTAACAAAATTTCCCAAGCTTGAGGGAAACCCCACCACAGCAGAGTCTATCCAGATTTGTCAGGGGCAATCAGCCTTTTAAAAAAGCCATGTGAGTGAATCATCCTAATGGCTAGGGAAGCCTCTCTGCAAAGAACAGATTTTTATCCTACTACAAGGGTTCCCCCCCTCTCCCTTTTCACTTTCCAGGAGTCTGAAAATACTTCAGGGTCTTCAGCCTAATTACAGCCTTTCGACAAGCCACAATTGTTTGTTCAGATTTACTTATGGATTCTCAGGATAATTTCAAGCAGGAGGGAAATGACTGATACAATGGTTGCCTTTCAGAATAAGAAGTAGTACATGGAGCCTGCAATCAGTGGAACATAAAACAATCACTAGTTACTTTGCCAAAAGCTGATTGAAATGATATAGTTCAGGGAGCTGATGGGGAATAAAAAGGCCACTACGGAGGGCAGGATTTGTTATTTTGAGAACAATGCGAGATGCTAGAAGCAGCTGGAATTTATAACATCGGAATGGATGGCAATCTGCAGAGACCAAAAGATTGCCAAAGCAAATGCAAAAAACACTCTTGTGTGAACAAGACTTTGGCACAAGGCATCCTTTTTCCTCAATGATTTATTCTTGTTCATGGCATCTGTTACCCAAAGAAACGGTTACCTCTGTTGCAGAACATGGTCATTTAGCCAGAATAGGCCAAATCATGGAGTTGTAATACTACTAAATGCTATACACTGCCAAGGTGGTGGTGGTGGGGAAATACTGTGCTGAGACTGATGCAGAATGAAAAATAGAATGCACACTCTCCATCTGTCCCTTTATCTACCTTTACTCTGACATCTTATTAGACCAGGTCAAAAGTTTTGTGGAAATAAATTCAAGAATATTTCCCAACCTGCCGGATTGGACAAGAACTAAGCCATAGTAGAATAAGGGCTGCCTACGTTTCATCAATATATACTTGGGCTAAGGAGTTTTGTTTTGTTTTTAAGACACTTTATTTGTTTCCAACCATTAGACATTTCACACGATGCTGTGTTTTGATTGATATCGTATGGAAGCAATTTTCTTGTTTTGTTTTCAAGTGCCAAAAGGTCTATGAAGTTAGTTTTTAAAGTGTTAAAATAAAGTTCTCTCTCCGAACTGCCAAAATGACAGTTTGTTTCGGCTGTTGTAAATGGAAAGCAGTAGTCTCCTTTTTTTAAAAAAAAATTAATATAAAGAAAGATGCTAACCCTATAAAAATTGTACATTGGCAACGTGGATTGGTATGACTTTTGTTTATGTTACTAGATTGTCCAATCGTGATGTAATAAATTTAAGTAAATTGTTGGGTTGCGGATAACTATACCTTGTCCTGTGCTTCTGTCCAAGCTGGGGTTTTTTCCCCCTGTCCATAGGGCACATTTCCACTGTTAGTTGTTGACTGGAATCAGGCAACGAATGCCTGTCATGTAGCAGATGTTTGTAATTCTTAAAGACTGGTCACTGTCTGAGATGACACCAGATGTGCTCCTCAGGTAAATTTCCAGCTTCAGGTTTTATGCTTGACAGTCATGAGGGGAAGCAGGAAGGGCAAAGCTTGGAAAAGTTACTTTTTTGCATTACAGTTCTCAGAGTCCTCCAACCACTGTGACAAATCACCATGCTAGCTGAGGGATTTTCCAGGCTTTGGGTGCATGTATACAAAGAGCAGAATAATGTTGCTAACTATAAAGTGAAGTGGTGCACATAGCTGACTTGAAGTCTGTCACAACAAGAGGGAGTGAGAACATATTATCAGCCTGAGACAACTTCCACATAGCTGACTTGAAGTCTGTCACAAGAGGGATTGAGAACATATTATCAGCCTGAGACAACTTTGGAATCTGCTCCAAAACACACACAACTGTTGAGCTTTCTCCCAAAAATGTTATCAAAAGGGATGCATTTGAAGTTTTTGTCAGACTTTTTCACCTTCTTAAAGAAATAACAAAAATGATAAATCCATATAGTGAAAAGAATATGTTTCTTAAATGCACAGTTGCATTGGTCTAGCCATGGCTCTGGTTTTTCCACTATCCACTCTTCTTTCAGAAGAACAGAGAGAAAACCATACTAAACCATACTAAACAGCCTCTCTGCATATTGAAATGGTTTTTTTTTTTCAAATGAAACACCAGGTTCAACCCCCTGGTGTTTTTCCAATGTCCAGATGCTGTCTTCATATGTTAGCAGCTGGTATTGTTTCCTTGGAGGTTGCAAAGAATGGAAATGGCCCCAAAGTGGCAAGGGTATTGCTATAAATAGACATAATTAAGAATATAAAAAAGAGGGGACATGGTTTGGGCTACAAACAATATGGTCAGGTGATAGTGTTCCACTTCCACTCAACTTTCAATTTACCAGCTTTAACTGCATGGTAGACTGAAATTTGCGCGCAACTGTGTCATGAAACAGAGAGATGATTAGGTTAGGGAACACAAGCTGGCAAACTACTTTTCACTAAAGAGGCATGCAGATTTCCTGGCCTAACCTAGCTGTCCTGAAGTTTGGCTCCAGGCTGTTCCAACGTTCTCCAAGTTCAGACAATGGAAAACATGCAACTCGACTAAGTCCCCAATATGCCTCCAAGAGGGAGCATGGCTTAGGTGCAAGCAATATGACCAGATGAAAATGTTGCTCTCTCACTTACCTTTCATTTGACCACATTCACCTGCATACTTGCCTGGGTCCTACTAGCATATTTGCTTTTAACCATCATGTCACAACTGGGGTCATGGAGCACGAAGCGTAATTTGTAATTCATGATACGTTTCAGCACTTAACATCCCAGAATCAAAGAATACTGAGAACATGAATGCCTGCAGCATTACAGGCCCACACAGGCCTCCGATCGATCAGCTTTATTATGAAACTAAAGCTCTGCCTTAAAAAAAAAAATCTGCCAGTTAAAATATGTAGTAACAGGTGCTCATATGAATCAAATCTCTGCCTCAACTAGTCTAAGCCACTCACCATGAGATTAAAGGAGTATATATACACTTGAAACACAGCCCAGAGTGCAGTACATGTTATAAGCCGCCTTGCGTTCTTTTTGAGAAAGGAAAGATAAAAATATTAGAAATGAAGAAATAAAGAGCTCAAACTAGAGGAAGTCAGATTTAGGCTGAATATCAGGGAAAAAATTCTTAACTGTTAGTATGAAAATGGAACCAACTATCTCATGAGGTGGTGAGCACTCTAATGCTGGAGGCATTCAAGAGAAAATTGGACAACTATCTGTCAGATCAGCTTTGAATTGGATTCCTGAATTGAACAACGCCATTGGGCTCAATTGGCTTATTCTACATAAACAATCAAACAATTTTGTTTGCATATTTTTTTTAAAAAAAAAAGAGTAGCATGTTGAAAAAGAATTATCCTAGGGCAGTCCTGTAACAGTCCTGTAGCCCTGTAACAGGGCTAGTTTTAAATAAAACCAGAAGAAACCTGGAAAGACAACTGAATAAGATTTTACTCTTTTTAAATGCTTTTCAGGTTGCTTACAGATACTACTATCTCCATCCAAGCCTAATTTCACACTGAAACTGTTTTCTGTGAGGGCTGAGTTTTATTTTTCATTTAAGTCTTCAAGTATAGATGACATTATTTTATTACATTATTTCTTTTTGTCATCTATAGCAGTGGTCCCCAACTATTTTGGGGCCGCGGACTGGCTGGGGGGAGTGAGCTCCATGCACAGGGGGGCGTGGGCATGTCCCACCCCCACGTGGGCATGACATGCCCACCATGGACGTGACATGCTCCCCACGAGCCTGACACACAGTCCATGGGTGCAACATGCCCCCCGCATGAGTGTGATGCACCCACCGCACGTGCATGCGTGGGGTGCAGATCTGTATCCACGGCCCAGTTCTGGCAAGCCCACGGATTGCCACTGGGCCGCGGGCCTGAGGTCGACGACTCCTGATCTATAGAACAGAATCAAGGTTTACTGCCAAAGCAGTCAGTCCCCTGTATGATTTCATGTGCAAATTAGATGCAGTCATTAATATGGTAGGCATTCCAAAAATGTGGCACGTTTCTTCAAAACTCGTAGCAGCCAACTCACGGTTTCCAATTAATTAGGCCCCCTGGATTCAAACACTTGAGCTGTATACATAGAAAGCCAATTCTGGCAAAGGACGGTGGAAACTGTAACCTGGGAGGCACCTGGCTTGTGTGTGCTTTTGCAATGAATTTTCAATCTCACTTCATGATCTGTTCAATGTCACAATTCTTCATGTGCACAAGATTATCGGATAATGCACAGCAAAATGATGCAAACGTAGAATTTTAAAAAGTCTTAAATTCAAGTTTAGACACCTCTATCCATATTTATTTTTGCATACAGAATGGAGTAGGCACACATTAGGCTCCATATATACCCATGCATAGCTAAGTTGCCTAATTAATGCCCATTAAATGAAGTTCTCAGTGTGAGAGACAAATGGCATTTTTTCCATCCTTTCCTTTTCCTAAACTATTAAACCAAAGGTCCTGTACAGTGAGACAGAATGGGAGCCCATAGCTTCCTCTCAAAGATGCCTCATTGCATCCTTCGATGTAAAATCTAATGTGTCCCACTACTTCCTCTGCTGAATAGTTTTGAAGGAAACATTACAGGAAGCAATGGACCACTCATCCAAATGAGGTGTGAGGTTCATGTTGATGTG